AAAGTTTATGCAGAGCCTGTCCATCCAAGCTTTACCTACTTCTGGAAAGCATCCCTATATTTGGGTGTTAACACATTTCTCTTAGCTCTCTGTTCTTTTTTATTTTGACCTCCGGACCGTTATCTTGAACTGGTCTGTATATTTTCTCTGCACTTTATTATCTAACCCAGCATTAAGGTTTTTCGGTTCTTTGGTCAGTGCCCAAGTTTCTGAATCATCAGTACTACGGGGATAGTTGGTATGGTATGAGTCGACTTTGGTTTCTGCTGCAGTTTATTTGACAGTTTTATAGAGACCTACTACACCGATTGACGCTTTCATTACTAACCAAAATTTTAGTATGTCGACATACTCACATTCAAACATACAGAAAAAGAAGTATCAACACGTAAACCACTTATATCTTGAACAATTAAGCGATAAACTGCTGAAAAAATATTTCCCAAATATGAGTTGAAATTTGCAATGCATAAACTAAATACTTACACAGATTGCATTTCCGACAAAGCTTGATTAAACGCAAGTGTTTGAGATGTTTAGTTCAAAATAACACATTTCCCGATAACGCAGATCCTTCACTATAGGGGAAAACTACCTACATTTTAAAGTGAAATAGTATGTAGGCAAACACCAACGAACAATATTTTTGTAAACAAACAACTCGTAACATAAACATTTCAATGACAGTTATAAACCAGCTGTTAGTTAAACCAGCATTGAAAATACTTTAAATTGCTAGCGTCGGCTGCTACACTTTTTAAAAATTAAAACTTAATTTCTAAAAAACTGAAACCCTAAACTAAAATTATGGCTTTGACATTCCCTAGTTCTCAAAATTATCTTTCTTTCAACACAAAAATCATGAAAATCCGTCAAGTGGTTGATTCAGAATCGTGAAATAAAAAAACCCTGTTTGGTTTAAATATTATGGATAGTTTGAGATAATACTTTCAATTAACTCGAAGTTAGACATCTAGCTTTAGTTCCCATACACATATACCTTGGACCAAAGCATTGCAATTTTAAAACGTTATGAAGGAATAATACATATATTAAATAAGATATAAAATGACATAACAAACATATTAGTAATATTTGGTTTCCTCTGTATTTTAGAACAAAGTATTCATGAGCATAAAATATTCCTTGTATAATTGAAAACTTCCAATTATTTATGAATGATTTCAGTTCTTACGACATATTATTTTGGTACTTTTTAAGATTTTACCGCAACAATAAAATATATTATCATTAATATGTCTGATAAAATTTTTTTATGATAATACTTCAAAATTATTGTTGACTTTTTATGAAATACAATAGGTAGTATAATATTTTGTTATGTAGTGAAACTATTACATCAATATAATCTCATACTTTTTATAAGCATTTTACCATTTGATACCAAGTATCGCAGGGCTACAAAACATCTTTTAGTTTTAAGATGCTAAAACCTGGAATTAAAAATTCAACATGAACTAATCTCTTTATAGCCAAAGGTGTTGTCACAAACAGGTTTAACAAAGTTCTTTCCACAAGATTCACATTTTTAAAAGACTTTCTTGAATGTTTTCAATTGCACCATGTAGACCTTCTTAATGTCAATTATGTCATTGGAAATGATTTCTGGTATTTCTTTAACAAAACCCTTAAGCAATAAGCAAGTTCACCGAAGTATAAATAATATTCTGTTTGACTTTTTTTTAGTATTTCTTTGTCTTAGTTACAAAACCTGTAATAATATTTTATTGATGTGAGCGAGTGTCCTATTTGTAGAGCTTAAATAAAACCCTTCATGATGCAACAAGTCAGATTTCATTTCATCAAGGATAGATGTTAATGCATCCAAACTGTACATTGAAAGAAATGTAGAACATAAATCAACATTAGGATTTTCATACAGGTTAATGGTACTGAAAACCGTATGAAGGTTTATATAAAACTTAAAAACTCCTATGTTGAAGTAAATCTCCTTTAAGATTGATTTGAGGTGATATCTGTTATTTTCTACACATTCCTCAATTGTCATTGAGTTACATATAATCTCATATACTTTAATAAAAGGTACTATAATAGATGTTCTATTGTTTAATGACATTATCACAGCAGTCTTGGTTTTCATGAAATTACAAAATTGATTACAATATAAGTAATGTAATTGGAAAGACCAGTTTACTATGCTATAAATATATAATTTACATATGACAAAAGTTTGGTTCATTGGTGAGATAACTATAACATAAATTTTCAGCTATGATCACAATCTTGTAACTGTAATCTACGATATCTATTAAAACGTGACTTTCGGTTAAACAATAGGTAGACACTTAGTACTGTAAATAGTAATAAGTTATTGGGGATGATCTCAAAACTAAATATCCCAAGTCCAATGTGTATCTTTATGATAACAGAATAACACCATCCTCTATCAATAAGTCAATCAATCAATCGATAAAATCAATAATACACAATAAATTCAGCCGATCAACCCCCTTAGGCCACAAACCTCCTTCCTAGGTGTGTATGCGCCGGTGCCACACCCACTCCCTGGTATACGTTTTCCTTTTTCAAACTCAGGCATTGTCTTTGATAATTTTAACTCATCGGGGAAGTAACCTTGATCAAAACACAAGTTGAGAATTAACGCAAGGGGCACAGACAGTGATGTAATTATTATGCTCTTTAGAAAGTTGGATGACATGCCCTAAACATCAGCACAGGGCAAGGGCTTGAAATTGTTAACTAGGGTTTGCAGTCTGTTCTATATAACTAGCATTTGAAGTTCTCTTAGCTACATCAACGGCTAGCTAAGCCCCCTTTAAGTTACTCTCTAGTCTGCATTTGTTGTGCAGCAACAGATACCCACGCTCTTAGAGTCCTAACCTCCTCGTTCAGATGCAAGTCTAAGGATTTAGTCTTTTGCTTGATGAGTTTATGTTTATTTGAATGCTTAGGCTTAGTTAACTCTGGAAAATTTGAGTAAAAAACACATTTAAGTTAATCAAAAAACAAAGAAAACACTATACTTGCTGTCATATTTGGCAACAGAAAGTCCCTGTTTACTTTATTCAATAATTCAGAAGCAAACCCAAACATATTCTCATCTTCTAGCCTTCTGTATTCAAGATTGTAATCAGTAGGCCAAGGTAGGTTCAAGTTGTCACTCTCCAATAATTTGACCACTGTTACCACAGCCTAGAGGATTAACGACACTGGTCACAACCTCCCATTCAATGTAATTGGCTGCCACTAAGTCCAGACAATTATTGTTGCTTCTCGTGGGTTCGAGTGAAGTCCAATAAAGTCCAAAACTTCTAAGAAAGTCAGTCAGCTACCTTTGTCGAGGCGTATCGAGGTTAAGCGGAATGTTGTAATCCCCTCTGAAGTAGATCAATGCATCAGGATACATTCTTAAGATAAAAGCCAAAAACTCCTCTAAACTAAAAGAGAGGGAAAATTCTCAAATAGTCCATTATCAGACCTGTACACTGTCAAAACTATGTAAGTCCTGGGTGGTTATTTATTTAACTTTAGGCCTACTACTTCAAAATCAAATTCAACATTGAAAGCAGTTAGATAAATAGGTACTAGTCATAGGCTAGGCCTAACATACATTGCAACACCTCCATGTGCATGAGCTGTCCTACATTGAATTCCCACTACGTGCAGGTCACACAATTCAATTCAATTCAATTCAATTCAAATATCTTTATTTGTTTTTATGTACATTGTACAATAAATAGTGTCAAAATAATTACAATAAAAATAGTTTCAAAATAGTTCAACAGGATAAAAAACAGCAAAACATGAAGAATGGTTATAAAAACAACAAATACATTTTACAAATCTAGTAAGATAATTTATCATAGCGACTGAGGGAGGTGAAAAAAATCGTCAAAAGAATAAATTGCTAAATTTATTAAAAACTCTTTCAATATTTTTTTAAATTTGTTTGGATCTGTTTCTTTTTTAATATTTTTTGGAATAAATTTAAAAAATCTATTACCTGCATAGGATGGTTTCTTTTTGAAAAATTTAGTCCTATGTGGTTGTACATTTTCGTTCTTATTTCTTAAATTATAAGAATGGGATTTTTCTTTTGGTTCCGAATATACTTCTTGTTTTTTTGCAATTATTATTGATTCATATATATACTGCCCGTAAACAGTAAAGATATTTAGGTCCTTAAAATGCTCTTTAGCTGACTCATCACGCTGCAGCTTAAGCATGATTCTAACCGCTCTTTTTTGCACACAGTTCTTTGTTACACAGTTACACAGTTCATTGTAAAACTCTGGATCCTCATTAGACAACCAATGATCAGCGATACACAGTATGTGAGGTTCAGTTTCATTAATAAATCTCAGCACTAGATTTAACTTTGTTTGCAGGCACTGTACATAAATATAAATCATTTTCACAGTAGTAGTCTGGTTCTTGGGAGACACAGTATTTTAATAGTCCAAGGCCTATCCTGGAGAATTAAGTACTTATTGGCCAGGACCATCTGGGCTTCACTAAAAAATGGTTCTTTAAACAAGTTTTGAAGTCATCTTCTAGCCATAGGTCAGGCACTTGGGCTTTAGCAACATCTTCTAAGTCAATGCCTATTTTGTAGGACTTCTGGTGCTGATATTTGGAGGTTAACTCTTGACAGTTGACCTCACCAGAAGTAATCTGTCCTAAGTGCTCTTTAAGTGCGGACATTTCAGTGTCCACCGATAGGTTAGAGACAAAACGCCATCCCAAATTAGGTGCCTGCCTAATTTTCAGGTTATCATCAGAGGGCAGTTTGCCTACGATATATGTTTGTTTGGTAGCCCTATGCTTATTCTCCATTTTATTTCCTTGAACTGAACATTATTTTCTTATATTTAAAATTATATTTATTTTTCATTGAACTGTAACATGTGGGTCTCCCCCCACTCCTCCAATGGGTAGTCGTTTTTACTAGTGAGTAAAATATTATCATTTGATGTAAATATTGTCAGTTTACTTACTGTTTAGGAGCCGCTTTGGCGGCACTCATGGTGGACTGCATGCTCTCATTTGCCATCATATCACCGATGGCCTTGCAAGGGGGTGTAGCTTTTCCTTGGGCATCTCCTGCAGCTTTCTTGGCACTTAGCAATGCGGCACTAGGTGAAAGAGCCAACTGTGGACATACCGATGGCTATAAGTTTTATAATTACATAACCTAAAAAACTAAATCTTGGAAAAAGACAGCTTGTTACGTAAGACTTATGTAATATAAAATATAAATCATTGGTCATCCTCTTACCGGAGGAATAGTGTACCATTGATTTCTATTGATAAACCCTTTAAAATGATTGGTCACTCGATAGGGGTTTACATTTGAAAATTTGGGGCTGCCCCCAAATACCCCATTTTGGACTGTCGATTAGTTTAGTTTATAAAACCATTATCTACTTAAAAGATGTTCAATTTGATTCGTCACATTCTAACTACACAACACAATGAATACAATACACAATGAATGCAATAGAGTAAATTTATTAGAAAATTGTGTTAGTTAATAGTTTTTATTTTTTTAACCAAAGTCAACGGATGGACTATCTAAGCCGATATAGCTGAATAAAATATATCATAGCAATACCAGAAAATCGCGGTTATAGCACCACGACTACATGCAAAACTAATAAATTTTAAAAGTGTGTTCTGGGGGTTTAAATAATAGTTGTACAAATGGATGAAAAAGAAAAAAACTTTTCAAATTTAAGAAAAAAAATTCAAAACATTCTGCAGACAAATTGGATGTAAAATGTTTGATATGTTGGATGTTGCAATGCTACTTCAATGCTGAGGGCCGCTCCATCGACCACTGGTGGTGGGATGAATCCACTGAGCGCCGGCTCGTTTTCAGCGCAGTATTAGAAGACTGAATTAAGGGTCAGAAGTTAAAGTTTTAAGATGTCTTTAAAATCGCTTCTCAACTAATTTAGTGTTTTATTCAAGAAATAAGTACCTTTTTGGTGTAACAGTGTGAATATGAAACTATTATAAATACATGCATCTGCAGATAGTATAAAAAACAGGATTCTGTAAGTTTAACAGTTAATTAAAATCGATTTTAAAGAGACTTACATTTGGAAGAGGTTAGAGCACATGTTTTCCAATAGCACAGATATAGTTAAATTCTGGCCTAGAATTTCATGATTCATAAGTTGTTGGCCACTTCTAATGGATTTGTGATTCTTAACACTGCTTTTAAACTTTAAATCAACAAGTTAAAAATATCTGACATATTTGTGTGAAGCTGAAACTATAGACACTGACTTTCGTAGTCAACTCAATCAGGTTATAACAAAAAATTATTGTCGGAAACAGCACTGCAGGATTAGAAGTGGAGTTTGTTTGGCTATCGGCAGATCTGCTTATCAGTGCTGACCTCTGTACTGAGCTGCTTAAACTGGATACGTATACCAGCTCTGTTTGAAGTTTATCAGCTGTTGACTAAACCACTCTTTTGTTATTGTTTACTTTCTGAACTGACCTTGCCTATGAATGTGACAATCTTTGCTATTACTAAAATTGCCAAATACTGCATTGTTAGCTAATATACATATTAAGCAGTTATTCCTATATCATTACAAACAATAAAAAATATTTTATTTTATAATTCACTTTCCAAGAAATGGATTAATAAAAATATTCTTTAAAAATATGGAGAATATAATAGTATTCACAAATGAAAACTGTTCCCCAACAGAAAATACCTTGGATGAAAATACAGTTGATTGCATTAATCAGAAAATCACTGATCTGTCAGTTCCTTTAAGATATGAGCTAAATAAACTAATTGATCAGTATGGTGTGGAACCTTTTGAGAAACTAGTTAACTACTTTGGACAAACCTTGGAGGGATGGAATATTGATATTAGCAAGAATATAGAATTGCAAAAATCCTATGACACATTAAAACAAGATTTTTCACATTTAGAAAACGTATATGAACACTCCAAAAATAAAAATAAGTCGTTAATGGAAGAACTGATTGAGGCTGACAACAATGATTTATCAATAACCAAGGATAATCTGACAGACTCTGTTTGTTATTTTGCTGATTATGAGACAAAAGCAAATGAACAAAAATTGAGAATATCTGAACTTCAACACACTATGGAGCAGTTAAAGAAGACTATAACTCAATTAAAAAAAGAAAAAGAAACTGCTTGGACTAAAATGAAGGAAACCGAAAAACTCTGCAATAAATATAAGATGGACATTTTAAACAGCAAACAATGGTTAGGAGATGAGGCGATCTCTTTTTATTTGACAAATCATGTCCAAAAATGTACAAAAGAGAAGAACGTCTACATCTTTGAGCCTTCAGTCACCCAACTCATTAAGCTAGCAGATTTGGACACAGTCAAAAGTCAAATAGTAGGACTAAGCTTAAAGAAATACAAGCTTATACTATTCCCCTTGAACAACAGTACATCTACCAGTGGTAGTAGTGGCAGCCACTGGTCTCTTCTTGTACTAGACCTCACTCACGACACATGGAGGCACTATGACTCTCTCAACAAAACAAATCACGATAGTGCAGTTGCTGTGTCCACCAAAGTTAATAAAGTCTTTAAGAAGGACATAAAACTTGAAGAAGAAAAATCAAGTACTCAAAACAACGGACATGATTGTGGTGTACACATGCTAACAAACGTTGATTGTGTAATATCTAAGTTACAGACACAAACTTCAGACCCGCGCACTGCTAACAACTCTGAAAATATGGATCTTGTTCTACAAAAAAAGATTGAACTTTTTAATTTTTTCTCTAGTTATTGGAGCAAACTATGCAATAACCCACAAACTAATATTCCTATACCTCCAGTGAATATTGTTAGTAATAAAAACTACAATAGGAAATGTCCTAAGAAGAAAATGACTCAACAGAAAGAAAACAAAAACCAACAAAAGTATAAATCTGGAAATTTGAACAAATGGTGTATTGAGGATAATGCAACCAAGCCTCAAACAAATCATCTTCCTACAAATGATATCCCGATTCAAAAACTGAAGCAGAGCAGAAAAGTTTTAGTGGTAAGCGACAGTCACGGAAAAGACATTAGTTTAAAAATTCAACAACATCTACCCTCAGGCGCACATGTCATGGCCATAACTCGTCCTGGAGCACCATTTAAGTATGTCACCAGTGATATCCTGAAACTTACCACAGGCTACACCCATGATGATCATGTCATAATCTTTGCTGGTACGAATGACATTTTGCCTGACATGCAAAGGCAGTCTGTACCCGACCTTGCAGACATTAAACATATCGCCAAATCAACCAAGGTATCAGTAGTTTTGGTTCCTGCAAGGTTTGACACAACTTTGTCACATAAAAATATAAAATTCTTTAATCGAGTGTTATAAAGGCGGCTTAGAGAAGAGAAATACATAGATATTGTGCATCTAAACTGGCAAAGAAGAGAACACTTCACACGTCATGGCTTACACATGAACAACCATGGTAAATCTATTCTGTCAGAGAATCTTGCTAAGCTTATTTGCAAGCACCACTACCTAAATTCTGAATCAGAATCTCCAGATGCAAGTTCTTCATGTGAAAATCAGTCTCGAGACTCTTCAAGTTGCCCTACTGTTCCTGCTGCTATTACTGATTCCACTTCAACCCAAATGCTGGATGGCTTGCCAGGAGGGCTCACTAGACAGTCAACCGTGAGGAGGGGTTCTACATCTCCAAGTTCTTCTGACGAGTTCTACGGCTGGGACACACCAAACACAGAGAAGCAGCGACTTTACCGAGATGTCCTGTGTAAGGAAGATGGAAAAAGTGCAGTGACAAGTGATACTTCCATGCCTAACATATTGTCTTTGGAGCAATACCCGACACTTCTGCGAAGGTCAAAAAGGGTAAAAATGAAGCTTGCCAACTGTCAGGTTAAAAATTCTGTCAAAACTGTTAAAGATCAGGTTCACTGCAAGAGTCCGGCAACCGATACACATCCTGGAGCTTTTTTAGAGATAAATTGCTAGAACAAAGTAACTTCATTAAAAAATCATTTTTGCATCTTAACATTGAGGGAGTTTTCACTAATGTGTCAAACAAACTAAATGAGTTAGAAATATTTCTAAGCTGTAGCACAAACAATGTAATTGGTATTTCTCTAAATGAACACTGGCTATCACCAGATTGTGTATCGCTGCTGAATTCTTTAAATGGTTTTGTCTTAGCAGATTTCTATGCTAGGGAGAACATGTCTCGAGGTGGATCTTGTATTTTGTTGAGAAACGGTATAGATTTTAGAGTAAGGAAGGATTTAGCTAGTATTAATGAAAAGTTTGTTTTTGAAGGATCTTTTGTAGAGATTTTAGAGTATAATTTAGTTTTTATTTCAATTTATCGCATTCCAAGATACAATAATGCTAATTTATTTCTGTCAAAACTAGAATTTCTACTACAATTGCTCAAAAAGGAAAAGTTAACTAAAAAAATTATTATTGCCGCTGATTTCAATATTGACATTCTAAAAAATGACACCATATCCAATAAATTCATAGAAATTGTAGAAAGTTATGGATTTCAATTTAATTTTAAAAGCCCAACTAGAATAACAAACCAGAGCAAAACGTGTATAGATAATATAGCAACTAATATAGTGTGTGATGTATCAAATGTTCTGAATTTAGACTTAAGTTTTTCTGACCACAATTGTTTGATGTTGGAACTGTGTTTCTGTAAAAAGAAAGGAAAGTCTAATACTGTAAACAAAAGGATTTTTAATGAGCAATCAATGGCACAGTTCTCAAAAAATATCCTTGATGTACAATTTAATTTGACCAGTGGCAATGCTGATGATATTTATAATAATTTTCTTAGAGAGCTCCTGTTAAAATTTGATCAATCTTTCCCATTAAAATCTGTTAAAATAAATTCTAGTAATTCAAGTAAGTGTAATAAAATGTGGATAACACCTGGCTTAAAAATATCTGCAAAAAAGAAAAGACTATTACATATGTTGGCTAAAAAAAGTGGTAACATTGATTTTAAGAATTATGTTAAGAGATACAAAACCACTTTTAACAAGGTTGTCAAAGCAGCTAAGCGGCAGGCCAACAGCAATTTCATTAAAGTGTCTGACAATAAGGTAAAGGCTACTTGGTCTG